TTCTGCTATCTTTTTCTACAGGTTTATTATTGATGTCCAAAATAAAATACTGAAAGCTTTCCAGGAAAAATGAATATTTTCATAACTGACTTGCTTAATCACATCTTTAAAACTGAAAACGTAAAATATATAGAAAAGTGACCCTGACATTGTGGGTGAAAACTCCTCAGTCTGTGAGTCTGAAGATTTAGGAAAATTCTAGCTGAACTTCTTAGATAGAGGTGTCCCAATGGCTTTGTCTTTGCCTGCAGTGGCACTTTCTGTGTAAAACTGGTGTAATATTTTCCAAGACTAGCATTTGGTTGATTCTTTAAGCAGTGTCTTGGCCAGTTTAAAGCTCTTGCCTACTTAATTCACATAGTGACTTCAAGTGTAAGTAACATGGATATAATCTTTCAATGATTTCATGTGACTGCTGTGTAAATATTTCATTTTGCTGTATTGTTATCTCTTATAACCTATGCTTAATGACACTTAAACTCTTTTCTTTGCCACTAGTTAGTTCATCAAGCATTGATAATGGGAGTTCTCTTCTGGAAATACCTCATTTTACAGTATCCTTAAGTGTTTATATTTTTAACAGATCTGTGAGAGTTTTCTGTACTACATTTAGGTAACACAAGTTCTAGTAATGTTAAAGCAAATTTGATTCCTGCAAGGAAAAAAAGGGACCATGGTAAAATCTCCTGAGGAATAGGATATATGGTTCAGGAATGCTTTTCTCTAGTCTCAGTGTTTCAGACTTAATTCTGTTTCTATCCTCAAAATAGCAATATCCCTCTCCTCAACACACCCCCATCCCAACCTTCCCATTCACTGGTACTAAATCTTCTTTTCAGGGTTGCCTGTTCTTAATTTCATAGCCATTATGCCTTGTGCCTGGAAAACTCTTTTGATCCTAGCATCAAAACAGCTTTTCTGTGGCTAACCAAGCCCTTCTTTCTTTTCATCTGTTTAATAACACAAGTAAATGGACCAAGATAATTAGATTTTAAGTAAAAATTGTCATTTGTAAGTATTCTGTTTGATTTTGGTTTTGTCCTCTTTCTTTTCCTTTTTGTATTTTTGATGATGTAAAGGAAAAAAGACAAAGCTTATGTAAAATAAATAAAAAGGAAAAAAAAACAAAAAACAAGCAAAAAAACCCCCTCAAACATAAAAGAAACAAGCAATGAAATTATTTGTATTTTGAAAAATGTAAAATCTGAAATTAAAAATCAGGTCATTTTTATTACTGAAGCAGTTACCTTCTTAATCTGTAAAGCATGGCTTAATGAACATCATCTTGTTTCTTGTTCTTCATATACTGAAGTTTCCCTTGCTCAGTTGTTGAAATTTCTAGGATTCTTGTTATTACTGTTTTCTTTTTTAAGACAATTGGAGACAATTTCTGTTACCAGTTAGTTTGATTCTGTATTTGTAAAATGTCAGTACAGATGTCTTCTTACTTGGTTTCTCAGTTCCTTCCAGGCCATCCTGCACCTTTTCAGGTTGCACTCCATGAAGTCTCTAGCATAACTGATTCTTCTTTTTCTTCTTTCTGGGCCCTCTTCTTAGGAGACATTGTGCTCTCTTATAGAACTGTTATTCCTTGTTAAAAGGACACACTCATGTTAACTTGACATGACTGTTGTTATGGTATAACATCCCAATGGATGTGTGTCTTTATAGCCTTTGCCAGTAAGGTGTGTGAGGGTCAATTTCTTGGTACCTCAAGTACTGACCTCTCTTTAATCTTGGAACTTCTGGATGGCACTGTGCTATTTGATTTGCAGTGGTGTCACTGCAGGCTGTGTAAAGAGAGAAGGCAACATACAAACTTGTCTTCTCTCTGGGAAGATGTCCTTGTAGTAACTTCAGTGTCTGTTTTCCTCGGGAAGTTATGGTTATAGAGAGAGCAGCTC